TTTTTTTTTTTTTTTTAAAGTCTGTTTTGGAGTCAGGGCAAAAAAATGACGCAGGCTTTTTCTAAATACCTTTGTACTTGGCTGACTGGCTCTTCTCAAAGACTTCAGAGTGTTTGTGTTTCAGATACTCTATGAGAGAGATCTTCACCTATCACAGGCAGTAGTATCATAAAATATGTATCTGAAAGATAGTGCAAATGGGTTGGGAAGAAGACTGAATGTTTGTAACCTAAGTTTGTTTAAAAAAAATGTTCCTTTTAAATTTGTTGAACACCTTTAAAAATAAATATAAGTTGTGAAACTGTTGTTAATGATGAAAGAAATGGAACTTTTGAAATTAGAGCAGTCCAACAACTGATTCGATTTTTTTTTTTTTAAGTCATCACAAGAGAGATATTCAGATAAATAGTAAGTCCTAAAAGTTGAATCTAGGTTGTGACACATGAATGTCCAGAGTGTTTTGATGCATAACATGAGTGCATAGATATACAAAGATATTTTAAAAAAAAAGCTTAATTTTTGTGAAATGTAAAATAGGTGTATGCATTTTCTTGTGCCAACCCATAGAACTGATGCTTTATTTTCTATCGTGTTTAGTAACTTTTAAAATAATATATGGGCACTGTTTCACTGTACCCCCCAGTTCCCAAACTAAGATTTTTCTGAAGAGTGTTAAATGCAGTTGGGGTGGTGATCTCCATACAACTGGGGAAAGTCTTCCACTCAGAGATAACTGAATCTTATGGCAGCCTCTTCTTTTTACTTGTGATATACTAGAAATAATCTTAGGTGGGGTGGGGTTTGGGAGAGTCAAATGACTGTCAAAAGCAATGTACAAAATAATGTAGTTAAAATCAAACGTTGCCATCTATCTCCATCTGAGTTTGAACAATTCCAAAACTAAGTTCTTGTCTTTTATAAGAGTTTACCTGTGGAAGGTATCTTGTAGGGCTGTGCGATGCTTCGGTCCCTGGTTCGATTCAGCGGAGATTCGGCCTGAATTGGTGGCCGAATCTCCAAATCTGAATCAAATCAGGAGACTCAGTCTCTCTGAATTGAATCTGAATTGGGTCCTGATATAGACACAGCTTTAAATGTTTTTTTTAGGTACCAGGTGGCTTGTGAATGCTGCAATAGTGGGGCAAATGGAGCGTCCCACAGGAATGCAGGGGTCCCCAGCACGCTCGGCAGCAGACCCGGGAGTGGACCAGAAGCACTTCTGGGACTGCTGGGGAGCACTCTGGGGGGCTCCCCCACGTTTCCCTGGCTTGGTGACTGGGGCCACTTGGGGTCCCCCCGTGGCTGATGGCCGAGCCGGCGGGGGGCCCCACTGCTCGGTGGCAGGCCTGGAAGTGGACTGGAAGACTTCTGGTCTGCTTCCAGGTTAGCTTGTGAGCATGGGGGGGGGAGGGGGTTAGTGTTAGGGTTGCTCCTGTGGGTCACTCCATCCACCCCACCATTGCAGCGTTCACAAGCCACGCCTGGTACCTCAAGGTATGTAGAAAAAAGGTCTAAAGCTGTGTCTGTAGCCAAATCACTGATTCTCTGAATAAGCTTTGAATCTTCAGATTCTGATTTGGCCGAATTTGAATCTTTGAATCCGAATTAAATACGGCCCATTTCACATGCACCTAGCATCTTGCAAAGTTCTCCTCTTTTGCCCTTTGACTCGTGGTGCTGCACCACAGATGAATCTTTTGGTAGAATGAAGGCTGCAGCCTGGATGTTCTAGTCTAGCACCTGTTTCCTTTCTAAAATCTGGATCAGGAGGCATCAGCAGAAAAGACTCTGAAGAAAGTGTGGTTTCACAGTTAAATTCTAAAGCTGCCCCAACCTGTATAGGGAGAAGATGAAATCCTTTCTCCTTTCTTTCCATGAGTTTTCCAAAGTCTGGAAGCATGGAGTATTTTGGGAAATGTGGCTTCGTTTGGTTTGGTTTCCCTGTAGAGCGCAGGGCATAGTCAAGACAACTCCTTACATATTCCCTCCTGCATTAGGTGCCAGATGTAGTTACTTTGTTGCTGTCCCAAGCAGATATAAAACTAAGTTAAGTACAAAACCCAAACAAAAACTAATTATTGGAGGAAAAGAAAAGAGAAGGAGCAAACAATTAATCAGCGTATTTTTTCATTGCCAAATGTAGGAGGAGCAGAGGCTGCAGCCTGTCCTTATCTCCAAAAACCTGCATTTGCAGTTGTTAATGGTGTTCCGACAAAAAAGAGAGCTCAGTGGATGCTGTGTGTTTCGGGGTGGGGGAAGGTTATTTTTATTTATTTTTTTTTTTAAGGGGTAGGAAAAGGAGTTACTGTGGAACCATAGAGAGGATTCATACAGAGCAATATAGATGTCCTTCCAATTTGTTTCCATTCAGGGAATAATTATAATTTAAGCTTGGGTTTTTGAACTAAAAAGCATTGCCCTTTGACCTGTTTAAAATGTTAAATGTGCAGTTGGTCTCCTGGACCAGCGGAGGCATTGGGTTGATCACTGGCTGTTGTTTGTCCTGAAGTTTATGTGCAGCCAGTGTCTGGCTCAGTGATTAATACAGCACATGCCCTGTGATAAAGTTATCAGAAGCTCCAGTGCTGTAGAAGCCCTTAGTCTATTTGAGGAGATGCTGAGTCATACGTGTTCATTCTAGCAGGTTATACAGATTGCTCCCTGTTACCAATGAGGAACAGCTAAACAAGATTTTAATAGGGAAATACAGTTCTACTTTCATAAGGACACAGAAATAACATTGAACTTCTTTGCTCCTTGATAAACTGTAAAGCGGTATAAATGAATAACTATATTGACAAGGAACTTTGTCCATACAATAGTTTACAGTGTATTGCTATAGTGTAGTGTATCTAATAACTAAACAGAGGGTATGTAAGATGATCTTTTATTAGTAAGAAATACAGTAAGGACCTCTCTGTTTCCTTAAAAAAAGGAAACCCCACTCAAGCTGAAATATATCTCTTTAAGCAAATTTATTTATCACTGTTGATAGAACAGTTTAGATTAGTACATTCAAAGAATTAAAAAAGCCCCCCAGCCTTTTCTGCAGATTGTTGTAATTGTTTACTATTTGCATGTTGCTCAGTCTGGGCATTGTAAGGACTACATTTTTTACAAATGCCTATTGCCAGCATTTAGTCAATTTTATATATGGCTCAGTATATTAAATCCACACTTTGCTTCAGCAAAATAATTTGGTTACATAAAGACAATTCACTTAAATATTTTTTGAAAACATGGAAACATGGTTCTTCCCCCCACCTCCTATCCAGCTCTTCTGACTTTTCTAGGGCGTTAATTTTAGATCCTCAATTACTTTTGATCTTAAAGGAATCCAGGAGGAGGCTGCAGCATATGCAGAGCAAAGTACCCTGCAGTATAGTTGCTAAAGTTTATTTTATTTATACTCTGATGGATTAACTTATTGGTAAGGAAACATAGCTCTTCTTGGGATTCTGTTCAACAGAAGTTTGTTTTCATGTCTGCCCTTTTTGCATTTAGCAAACTTTACATCAAACCCAGTCAACATATGCATCAAAATGTCGTCTCTTTATCAGGTGTAACAGGCTGTCTAGATGAACTGCTTCTGATGCCAGAACTGTGAAGACCTACCTCGCCTCGTGGCTGTATGGATATGACCAGCTAATAAGTATAATATAGAATCCACTGAATTTACTTTTGCAGTCTACTGACTTCTGTATCAGGGGTGAGTTCTTCTATGGGCAACCTGAAAGAGGAGTGTGAAGGGCTTTAAAATAAAAACATAATTTTTGTCTAATGGAAAACAGTTATTTGATCCAAAACTAAACTTTAATTATCAGAAAACTGCCTTTAATTCAAAGGCCTTACAAAACCCACTAGGAAGATCACAAGGACAACTCAAAGGGGAGCAAAGGATTTAATGACGTGAACGGTCCACCTCTGAAGATTTACAAGAATTATTCCTGGACTAATGGCATGTGCTTCACTATGGTCTTTAAATAAGCTAGTTTGGGTACCAGGAGCAGTCTAGCTCCTGGAGGATAAATTAGTTCATACTGAGACCAGTTCAGCTGTGACTACAGTGCTTCTGGTACCCAAGGCAGCTCATTTAATGCTAGCTCAGCTATCTTATATGAGTCTGCAATGTAGATATACTCTCAGACTCAGATGCTTGCTGCTGCAGGAGCATAAGAATTGCAGAGATTTTTCACTGAGGCCATGAGATTTTATGCTCAGAATACTGGCTCAGTATTTTCAGTATTGCATGCAACAACTCCTTTTTATTTTTTTGTTTCTTTCATAAGATACTATCTTTCTGGTGACCAGTGTTTCTTTCATAAAATACTATCTTTCTGGTGGAAAAAAAGATGCTCCATTAGATATATTTTGATTTTAAATAATCCCTTTTCATTAAGTAAGTTTTATACTTAATGCCAGATCTTCAATGTCAGTGTTTTATTTAGGACAATTAAAATGAGAAAAATGCATGTATTTTCTTTTGAAATGTTCTGTGCTGACCATGTTTCACTATTCTGTTTTATTCAGCTATTTTTTAAACATCCTACAAAGGGTTAATGGACCTTGTAAAGGACTCCTAACCATTTGCAGCTTCATAACTCATATCTAGATGTCACCGGTGTTTCCCATGTTAACAGTTCTGAGCATGTTTTACTATATCTGCCTTCGGCGCCGAGCCAGGATTGCTACAAGGGGAGAAATGATGAACAGCCGGAGAGCTATTGAATCAAACAACCGAGCCTTACCTGTCAATGTTGAAATAGTCCAGTATGCCAAAGAAGTCTTGGATTTCAGTTCCCATTATGGTAGTGAAAACAGCATGTCATACACCATGTGGAATTTGGCAGGTATTCAGAATGTGTACCCTAGTTCTGGTGACTTTACTCAGACTGCGGTGTTTCGAACTTATGGAACGTGGTGGGATCAATGTCCTAGTGCCCGATTGCCGTTCAAGAGGACTCCACCTAACTTCTACAGCCAGGACTATGTGGAGCTTGCTTTTGAGGATCCAGTATATCCCACAGCTGTGCATATTCTGGAAACGTATCATCCTGGAGCTGTAGTTAGGGTTTTGGCTTGTTCTGCAAATCCCTATTCCCAAAATCCACCAGCTGAAGTAAGGTAAACTTTTACTCGTTGTCTTTATTAAATACATTTAGAAAATGTCTTCAGGATTTTATATCAGATCTACAAATGGTCTCTTTGTTTTAGTGCAAAGTTTAACACATGCACATGTGCTGTAGTTTTCTACTCTGTCTTAATGCTAAAATTGGGGACATAGATCTAATAAGTGAGGCCATTTTAGTATCAAAGATTATACAGGGTTCTTTTGCATAATAATAGTTCTTGTGAAAAGCCGCACCTACAGATAATATAGATCATCAAAACTCTTGATAGTTACTGGACATGTACAATAACTATTAATTAAATGGTGTTTCTTTTGAATGTGTACTTTCCCCAAGTAATAAGGGTAACGTGTTTATATAATGTTTCATTTTAAGAGACCAGCGGTTTTTATTTATTTCACTGAAATACAGAAATATACCTAGCATGCCTAATGTCTTATGTCTTAGAATGTTAAGAGGAAGGCCTTAAAATTATATAGACCTACATAGGTTTTAAAACAAAATAAAAATTGATTTGTTGTTATAATTAAAATGGATAATTATTTATTTAAATGTGTATCCCACCATATCCAAAAAGGCTCCATGTTGTTTACTGTGTTCTATCTTGGAGTGTAGAATAATATATTCTTGAAATTAGTTGATAATGGCAATGCAGGAGTAAGCATGTTCAACTATGGCATATTAACATTAGCCTTTTTTTGGTAAACTTTTCATATTTATAATGTAGAATTCTTTCATAGACTTGTTTCTACTTTCTTATTATTTTATTTCTTAAACTAAGGAATGATTTTGTGACCATGCTGAATTCTCTGAGTGACATTCCGTACTTGGTCAATGAAGGAAAAAAATCAGTCCTATTTTGTATTTCATAGCCCTTATGCCTTTTTTCTTTTTCTTTCTTTTTAAAAGATGCATGTCATCAGTACCTGTCTATTATAATAAGGCTGCATTTAAGGAGACCTCTATAAATAATACTTGTTAACAATTTATGTTAAATAAAGTCTAAGACCATGTCCAGACAAGCAGGGTTGTAAAGTTTGTGGTGCCACAGACTTCTTTGTGGTGCCAAACACTGTGCACAGCAAATGCTAAAATGTACTCCATGCTACAGATTTACAGCACAGGACAGACAGAATTTTGCTACCCTGAAGAAAAAGCAGTACAATGCATGCTTAACAAGTGTGCATTAGCACACGCAGAGGCCGGGCAATCCAGAGCAATGCTCTGGCTGCTGGTCAGGCCTCCATGCTGCCCGACCTGTGTCCCTGCTGCTCCAGGCCACCAGGTAAGATTGCTGGGGCCAGTGCCAATGCTGGGTCCAGCCTCCAACTGTCCTGGGCTGAAGAGCTGGGCAAGGGCAATTTGTCCCACAATGGGGCACACATGCAGGGGCATGTGCTGCAGCAATTTGTGCTGCTGCAAGCACACACCCCTGCATGTCTGGATGTGGTCTAACAGGTAACTCTTTCAGATATCAAGGTCAAACTCTGTGGATCATTCTGTTAAATACTTTTGTGTTATCACTCTTTGCATTGGAATTACATAAGTTAAATTCTTACCATTCAGTGTGGCTCAGTGAGGAAGGGATTGGACTCAGGCTCAGATTTGAGAGCTCTGAGTTCTGTTCTTGACTTTTCTGGCTCTTTGGGTGATCATGAGCCAAGTTACTTACTCTTGCTCCATCTATGTTTCCCACTTAGTAAAATGTGGATAATGGCACTTAGCTCCTTTCCATTCACAGATGTAAAAATGTTTTATAAAGTTCCATATAAAAGCTGAGTGGTGGCAGTGATACTAGACAGATTTAAAAAAGGAGCAAATACTATCTAAAAAGATTCACAGCAAGCTATAAAAAGAGCAGATCAGATGGAAAGATATGGAGCCAGATTTTTTTACATGCCAAAATTAAGTGGGTAGGAGTGGATCAACAAATAGCAGGGTTTGATTCTCTAACATTGACATAATGACTGTTTCAGCACTGGCATAAATTGATCCAGACTGCACTAATTTATGGTGACTGATGATGGTCAGTACAGGACCAACCAACAAATGTAACAGTGCTATGCCATTGGGGGATGGTGGGTAGAGGAAGCCAGCTCAGTTAGCTTTATGCTATGCTGAGTCTTCTGCTCTTCTCAGTTATGAGCAGATTCTAACATTGTTGAGGTGGCTGGGGTTGCTGTGGGGATCTTGTTTATTTAACACTCCCCCCCTCCCCCAAAAAAGGGGGGGGAACATGTTAGAAAAGTGTTAGCAATTTAAAGGGCTTGAAAAATCCACTTTACATAGTAGATTAGGACACTTTTTTGGATTAGTGCCATCAGGTTTTGTAGAGCTGAAAATTTCATTGGTGTGATAGAAGAGACAAGACAGGGAGGAGAACAACAAACCTCTGACACTTGATGAATGCAAAGATAATTTCTCAATTGTGAACCTAGAGTAAAACAATAGAGCTAGTTATTCCCTAATGTTCAGGGAGAGCTGCAGTATCTTTGCAGTGTGTAGCTGTCTCAAACAACAGAATGCAAACTAAAGATAATTTTGCTAGTTTTCACTGGTGCTGAGGCAAATCCACCTGGGCAATAGTGCAGCAGAAGGGAATCAACTCCATTTCACTTTATTTCTGTGGAGTAGGCAAACTTTTACAGATGCAGGCTGTCATGGGAGGATGGGTGCTAGGACCCTGCTGCTGCTTGTCTGATGTCATGGGGAAACCTACAGCTGGCATTTGTCCCTGTGGCTGAATGCTGCCAAAGCTCCAGGCTATAGGTTGCCAACTTCTACTGTAGTGTTTAAGCTGTGTCTAATAGCAGAATCAGGTAATGTAGTTGCATACTGTGAAAGCTGACTATAAAAAATTGAAGCAGGAGAAGTAGATAGTTGGTAGCTCCCTCTATCTTTGTGCACCTCCCAAATGAATAAATAGAATACCTGACTATGCAGTTGCTGCAGCTTTTAAAACTGACGCCATAATAAAATGAAACTATTTCTTGTGGGCTTTGACCTATCAAATTTGGGGCAGCTGCTTCCTGATTTTTGTGGTCTCCTGTGCTTCAGGAATCCAGGGTTTCCCACTCTTTCCTGGTTTTGCAGCTCTCTTCCACCTCCTCCCGCTTGCTGCTGATTTTGCACCTTTTTGTGTTCCCCATGCTTTTTTGTGGGGACTGGGCTTTTTCACGACTGACCGAATTCAAAGTTTCCATAAAAATTGTGAAACTGTGAATTCAGTAGGTCCCTAGAGATGAGTAGTACAGATTGATTCCATAGGTGGGGTCAGTCCATGGGCTGGATCAAGCATGAGCTTGGTGTGCAGCATCCTTAATTCCTTGCTATGTCTCCTGATTTAGTTGTCTCAGTATCAACCAAGAGCTCTTTTTAAGGAAGAGAGAACAGTGATATTAACCATTTAGCCAGAGTGTCTCTAGTAATTTCATTTGGACTCTATACCAACATCCAGATCTCATCCTCTTAGGCCAGAAAAAAAATTGGGTTCCAGTTCTACAGAGGAAGGGCATGTAGGCTCTGAATGACCCAGGCAGTTTTTAAACTCAGCAACGTCTAAGAGTCTCATGAACCAGAAGATTAATACCTTGCTCAAGAAAGCCTTTTTATTTTCTTCCTTGTGAACATGCATGGTTCGACTAGATGTCACTTGTTTGGCTGTCACCAATGTTATGCTTTATTTAAATCTAAGAACTAGTCCTGCATATTGCTAGAGAGAGGTTCTCATCTAAGTCCCTGTGGTGGTACAGTGCATTTTATCCACTTCATTGAATCATTGCCAGTGATTATGAAATCCTCCTATTAGTCTACGAATGTAGGAAGATACTAGCCTGGAGCAATTTGATTCAAGCTATCTTTAAATAGGTCAAGCTTGTCAGGGATCTGTTGAAGGACACTAAATGATTCAGTATGGAAAAAGGTTGTGATAAATCGATCTTCTGCCCCGAAATGGAGGAAAGCTCAAATTCTTTCATCAAAATTATGACTTCCAGCAATTCTAGAATTCTACATGTGTTTATTCCTTCCTTCTTCTCGACCCAGACAGATGCTTGGCAGAGAAATTGCACCCTTACGTGGAAGGGTCTCTGAAGTTTTCCAAATGGCAAGTGGGAATATTAATGGTTGCTTAGGATATCTTTAACCAGCTGATAAAACAAACTACAAGAAGATGCTCTCTTTTGCCTCCCTTTTGAATTAGTAATAAAAGCAGAGTCTAGACTACTGTAGAAACAGGTACTGACTTGGAAAAGATAGTTCTAAGATAGGTCAGGACAATACTTTTACCATTTTTCTGTTTTCCATCATTCCCCAAAATTTACTGTTTAAATTGCATTGATTCCTTCATTTGAATCGGTCATTTAGAAACTTACCAGTAGTTTGCAATTTGTTGCTGTCAGATGATGGAAATGTGTGTATATTGAAGTCAGAGCTGTCTAGTCAGAAATCACTGAAGCTTTTTTTTTAAACTTACTGTTACAGAAACAACTCTAACGACTAAATGTGAAAAATACAGGGGAAAAATCTTCCTTTTTTTAATTACAGTTGACGGTCAGTTTCACTTTCCAGTTGCATGCACTTTCCTGGTGACATCGCATTTCTGTGTGCAGTACTGGGAGTTCAAAAACAGTTTCCCAACCAATCTGGAAATGTGTAACAGTGCAGGTGCTGCTACTTCACAGTACATCTGGCTGCTGCTATGCAATTATTTCTTATTTTAGTAAATTGGAGTGTCATCTATGTATTTCTTCTTCATACTACAGATCTATTGCAGTGGTTAATGCTGCTGGTAACTCAGTCACAACTAGTGACTGTTTGTTAGTGGCAACAAGGGAATGTCCTACCTCCTGAAGTTTTCTTCACTTTTTAATTTCCCCTCTGTCTTGTGGCTCTGCCAGACTTATTTGCTGCAGAGCATTCTTGAGCAAAATTACAAATTTTATTTCAGATTTTTAGACTAACAGTTGGGATTTTGTTCAGGGTATAGCACAGTGT